TTTTTTTTAACTTCCCACATTGATTTTTTGTTCATTTCTGGACAAGGTGGAGATAATTGTAAATAACATCTGTTTCTGGAAAGAAAAGTAGCGGTCACCGAACATCCAAGATCGTCAAACCCAGGCAAAGCTATAGCAATGGCCATCTGCCTTATCATTGTTCATTTTATTACTTAGCGCGCGCTGCTCCCTATTTATGCGGCAACGTCACGCCACCTGATACATCAAGCGCGCGCTAAGAAAGAAATAAAAGCAAGAATGGTAGCGGTTGCGTTAACTTCACCTTCTTTTTCAAGGCCTATTCTACATCAAGGAATGACATCAGCTGCAACAATTTTCTTAATGGACTGAGTAGTGTCGAATTGATTACGTTGAACTGATCTAAATTTCACTAATATAGCTTCTGTTATTGCGGAAAGTTGCAAGATTAGATCGTCTTAAAATAACGAGAACTTCTACAAACACATGGTCTTCAATGCACCTTATCTCGAAAAAGAGCACGGCGATCCCTTTTTTTTATTACTACTTTTTTAATTAATTAATTAATTAATTAATTAATTTATTTATTTATTTATTTATTTATTTATTTAACATAATACAATGTATCGATAATTGTAACTTACGGTCTGTTATAATGGCATCGAATAACGGCGCCTCTCTGAGACCCAGTCTTCCAGCGTCTGCAACTAGCACGTCCACAAAATAACTGCCAAGTCCATACTGAGCAAAGTTTGCTCGAAAGTTTTCGTCTCGAGCTTAGAAAGAGAGACATCGCTTAGTTAAAACATCTCACGTTATTATTTGAGAGCAAGCTTAACTAAATAGATACATTATGTGTTTGGCGCTCTCGTAAATCCACATTTACTATTGTACTAGGGTATCTAAAAGATAGTAATGCTGCGGCACATTCTGTTGATAGTGACATCTTTTACAACTTCATGCATGATGACACATCGATGGCGAGGTGTGACAAGGGATCGTGACAAAAAAGGACATAGTGATCTGAACTATGTTTGGACATATAAAACGATACACATCAACCTCCCGTTAAGCTTTACCATATCGCGAAAATCGAAAGATGGGGAAATTGTAGGAGCAGAAATCTAACTTATAAATTCTGTACTGGTACGCATTAAATGTCTCTAGAATGAGACTGTGTCGAGGACGCGTCCATCGCCATGTGTGAAACTGCTAAAGCTTTTTATCATTGAGAGAAAACTTAACTAAATAGATACATTATGTGTTTGGCACTCTCCTAAATCCACATTTACTATCGTATTTTTGAACTGGAGTACAATATCGTCGAGTTTGGGTCGTACAGTAGCCTGGAATGTAAATCGCCTCCCGCCCTCAGCCTTATTTAAATCTACCTGTTGTTGTTGTTGNTAACACAGTTATAAAATTTAAGAATAGCGTAGTTTTCTACCTCTCCACTGGCCTTTTCTGTTGGCTCGAGAGCTTCTACCTGAGACCAAAAAGACAACAGAAAATGTGTACTGACAACACTACAACACATTCTCTCAGCACCCGTAAGAGGTATGAAACTATGACTACAAAGTTCCACCGTTTTGACTAAAGACGATTTTGCCTTCACGACACAAACCGGAACAGCGAGTGAGTGAACAGCGGCTCTGGACGGGGCTGAATAATGTCTGCGCCTGTGCAGGATGTCATGATAACAAGAGTAACTTTGAACGCCACATAAGTGATTTGAAAATATGTAGCAATTTAAATTTCCGTCTAGGAATAGAACAGTAGAATAGGATAGTAGCGCATTGTTTGGCATTTGTTTGAAACTTAGTGTTGATGTTGTATTATTCTAAAAATATATATTGTAAGCATTGTAAGCAGCGTATTGTTTATTTGGTGGTTACACTTAAAAGAAAAACAAACAAACAAACAAACAAACAAACAATAATGCACTTTTAGTTTGTGTACCTCGTCCATGAAGAAGTGTGTGATCAATATCACTTCCCATCACATGGGCTCCAAAATGAGAGCAAGACACCAGCACGCTACCTAACAAAAACAAAAACAAAAACAAAAAAATGTTCTCATTAGTTCCTAGAAAAAGTACATTGAAAATCTAAAGTACCATTCGTTATAGAAAAACGAAATAGTAACCATGAAAAACAA